GATAAGCTCTCCAAAAGTAAATATTCCACGGGACTTGCCGACAGGGAAGGGGGAATGTCGCCCAACGAAGACCACGAAGAACTTATAGCCTGAAGCTGTGCTCCAATACTGATTTTGATGGACAGCTGTATCCTCCACAAGCGAATAGGAAGTCTTAGGTCCTCTCCTCCAGATAGGCAGGAATTTGAGTTCCCGATTGTCGAAGTGATCACTGACTTCTAAACAATTATAAAATCATTTATTGCCACTGAGCAGTTGAACCTTAACGTTATTGCCCGTCATTTCAGGGAATAGCAGTCTCGAATTCGTTCCCAGTGGCAGGTCATTTGGTCAACGAATGGGCCATGATCACCGAAAAGGGCCTGTTTGTGGCCGTACTCTCTGGCCATATTGAACTTTCTGCACTTGTCACAATGCCACTGAGTGGACTAATAGCCAGTAAAGGTAATCCTAAATCTTTGGTAATTAGGCGATCTTGATTTGATTGTCATTTGAAGTGGATTTGTTTAAGTGAGCTGGGACATGGTATTCTACTTCCATGCAGCTCTATGTGGATTGTTCACATTCTTCTGGGCTCTATACTACAGGTACAATAAGTTGTCCTGTCGCTTCCTCAATGCTGCTGAATTTTACAGTCATTTTTTCTCCAGAGACAAGCCGACGAAACATCCGTTTGTTGCTAAACGCGAATCGCAGAGGATAAGCCGCGGAAAACAACCTTCGAATGCAAAGGCAGGGGTTCGTTTCTGTTTTCTAGATCTCAGCTTATTGGCAACCTAACTCAGCATGTGTCTAACCCCAGTCAATCGTGGCGTCTACCTGATTTCGGATATACGACCCCCTCCTATATCCCCTCCCAGTTTTGTTGGATGATATCAATAGCGTCGTTCAACCTGTTAAACCTGCGTACTTGCTTCCACGGGGAGGAGGGGGGCTGGGGTACGGTTGGCATTACCTGTTGGAATGGAGAGTATGCTGAAACATTAACAGGTGCTCATGTCGTCGAGGAGAGGGGGGGATGACACCATAAGTAGGTGTGCCACTTACAGTACTTGGGGCTTGTATAGGAAGGGGAAGGGATTCTGGGAGAGCATGTAAGCAATTTTTGTTTCCTTGGCGTTTTCTCCTATCCTGGGCTTAATCCAGTGTCTGAGTCTTAATCCTAGTGTCACCTTCACCAGCGCGTTTCTGAAAGCCCTGCTCTGGGAATGTTCCTCCCAAGTTCCATTAAGGGCCCAAAAATTTCGTGGTTTGCTTAAAAGGTTTATAATCCCTGAGAAGCTTCTCTCCCAGAAAACGCATCGCTCCCCAACACCACAAAAAATACCAACACACATGAACGCTAGGACCTCACCAAAAAAAAAATAAAAAATGTTCTAACGGATCATGAGTTTATTAGACTACCATTAAGATCTAAAAGCTTTGAAAATACTCGAATCAAAATATAAAAGAGGGTTAACTTTCGCGGTGACTTACCAGTAGGACCTCGAGATGAAGCAGTTGCCTCATAAAATATATTAAAGGAGCAACGGAATCACGACTGGCACATTATGATAGCTTTTATATGTCCAATATAAATAGCAGATAAATCCTCCTCTCAAATTGGGCCCTGAACTGAAGCGGGTAAGGATCAAAGCTATGGATCGCGCTTTCGCAAAAAGACAATATTGCCTCGACCCCATTGCATCGTTACTGTAAGTCTTTTGCAAACATATTTCGACTTTCCGCACTTTTTAGGCTCCACTGCAACATAGTTCCGCTCGATGTTGATTTAGCATATTGCGATTCTTCATCCGAACTTTCTGTGAACCAATTCACTATTTCCTATTCGCCACTGTATCTTTCCTATGTGCTAGGATTTCCCATAGCGACCGCTGGATTTCTCACGATTGCTCCGCTGGGTGCTCAGGTGAGGTGGTACGGCAATCGCCTTCCAGGAAACATATTAGAGGGCTTGTTTCAGCTTGTGATCAAACTACTGACCGGTCTCGCCTCCGACCGTCTCAATTGTCTGCCAGAGGTGGGAAAGTTGCGTCTGTTCAACTCCATTGCACTTCTCGGCTCCGGGCTCTTCTTTATTCTGCTGTCAGTGGTATCACCAGTGGGTGGCGCGATTGATGTGATTCTCATCGGTACGTTGATTGCAATTTCCGCCCGTTTTGCTCCACATTTTATTATTCATTACAGTAATCCCCATTGCTCTATTGGGATTCTCTTCTGGTGGCTATCCGAAATGCGCTGTGATGGTCTCTCAACAGCATTCTCCATTCGTCATGTCTATCGTACAGGTATGCCTGGAGCTAAAGCACTGTCCATCTACTAAAACTACTACGGGGGACAATTTCAAGCAACCATAATCCTGCGTTAAAAATAGTGTTTGATTACGGATTTCAAAATGTTCTGATCCCCGCAATCCTAAATATGGATATGGCTCTTCAGTGCACTGTGCATACTGAATACGCATTTGTGTAGAATTCCATACCTGAATTGAAGTCTAAGGTGTGGCGCATCCTCAAGAAATTAGTATCAGGCCTTTTAACCTCTATAGAGTATCACTTTTGCTAGTGAATATTGCTTTAGATCTACCGCAGAGCTGAGTAAATGTGAAAGGTGGCTTCTGCATAAAAGTAATGAATAAGCAGTATTGTAGGGCTTGTGCCTAGGCTACGGCTCAGCGTTTTCCCTAAAATTTAGGAATAACGTGTTGAAGTTGCTAGAGGAGGATTCCACGGCAAGGTCGAAGGTCGGAAAGGGGAAACGTGCCTATGTGAAAAGGCGGATGGACCCCTACGGTGCGGACCGTCACGCATTCGCAGCTCCCGGCCATCTAGCATGGCCCTCCCCGCGGCGCTAGCAACGTGGTACGCCCACCGACTGGCTAGCCACTCTCCCGCAGGGCTCCAGCCGTCTAGCAGAGAGAGAGAGAGCGCTGGCGTCGAAAAGAACATCATCGATGAGAGCTGCACGGAACGGAAAACGCGGAAATGGACGGGCAAGGAACGGATCTATCCCTGGCATCACTGTCTATCTCTATCCTTGATTCTAATGGGCTACCTTCTAATCGTGAAACTTGGACTTCAAGCGTGAGTGGTGAGGTATCATTCACGTGAATCCGCTTAGCGC